CTGCTGGGTTCATTTTGGTCAAGTTTTCTGTAAGGGATCCACTGGAGGCAAGTTGTAGAGGGAACCCAAATGTCACAATGTGAACAATGAACAGATGATTAACCAATGACAAGACACATGGCAGGATCACATGACAAACAAAATTACATGATAGACATGGAACATGACATGAACAAACCAAATTGTGACAATTATGAAGGGGAAATCATTATGATCATTATCATCATCTCCTCAGGCCTCTTCCATTATTGGTGGTGGTGTTTAACAATGACATGCTCTTATTCCATTGAAAACAAACTTTCTTGATCCACCACAACGTTCTTGAACTTCAACTCTGAAAGATGTTTGGAAATGTATAGAACTTGCTACTATAAAACTAGAACTATTGGAATTCTGCTATAATGAGTGGTCATTCTGACCCTTCACATAGCCTAGACTGTACCGAATGTCATTTTTACATTCTTAGCTTCTCAGTTTAATCTAACGCAGAACATGTACTTTTTTTTCTTTTTTCTTTTTTTACATTTTTAAATTATTGTATCAAGTAATGCCAGAAATTATTGGATCAATGTTACTGTAGATATGTTACACTCGGTGGTTTAGACTAATCTTTCTTATGTTTCTTTCTGTTTTCCTCTCTTGTTTACTTTGGCATTGCTCTACTTCTATGAGCACGCAGGTCTCAGGTCTCTTTCACATAGGTTGACGCCCCTGTTTGCCTTTGAAAGTTAGCTGTTTGATCAGCTATAAGCAAACCAAAGAGGAGAAGAAATGAGAGAGAGAGAGAAAGGAAGAGAGAGAGAGAGAGAGAGAGGGAGAGAGAGAGAGACTACGATCCAACCAGAGAAGCCGCATCTTTGCGTTCTGTGTTATGTTTTGTTATGCTTTACGAATTATTTTTCTCTTAGCCTAGTTGTTTTAGGCCTTGCTCATCATTGTTATCCTAACCAAGCTTACCCAATGTCATTGGATTTTGTTTAGGCTATCCATCATCCTGAAAAAATGAACTTTTTCTAAGTAGTGTTGGTGTAGCCTTTCACCATCGGGCCGTGTAGATGCGTACAAAACAAGAGGAGACGTTGGTAACTTTATGACGAACTCACTTTAATGTCATCTTCCATGAAGTCTCTGAACATTCTAACTAAAACTCCACCCCCTAACCTTGCGCTCTCATTTACTGCTCCCGTACATCTAAGAATAGATGCGACACCCCAATATTCTACAGGCCGGTTCCAGGTTTTCCAGCTTCTAAGGCCCCTTTCACACTGCAAATCTTAATGCTCAATTGATTCAGATTTTTTGCTCAGAACCGATTTTTGGTTTGGCTGTTCACATTACCTTTTAAAATGTGACCTATATCTGATTCCAATGTGAACTGTTTGCATGTTTCAAACTAACCCGCATGCACAAAAGAACAATAACAATGACATCATACGCAGCACGCTGTTTCACTAATGTACGTGTGGTTGCGGAGGAAGTAAGCATTTATGCTTTTATTTCTAAATGTCTTTGTAATGGAAGCCGTAAAATTAATGAGCAATTTTACTAAATAAACTCAAAATATTTTAAATTATATACAATATTATTATTAGTTCCATTGAAATGGCTTCAACATATCCCGGCCCCTAATTGACTAGGCCTTAACATATCAATTATCAACTTAAACTTAAACTGAAGCCATTTATACTGCTAAATGTAACACTTTCTCAATTCCTTTTGGCAAAAAAATCTTCTCCTATTCACAGAGAAGTATTTCAAGTAAACATTAACTGGAAAGCATTAACAACTAAATATTTACATACATAACATACTAATCAAACTGGTTATTTCTATTCAACATTCAATCTACTCTGGTAAGTAGTTTTAGCTTGTTCAAGTCTCTCTCTTCTATCTTCAGTCTTCTCCCTGCAATAAACAAAGTTTAGTTATGGGTCTTTGAATGATGCTGGTCTTCGTTCAAACTTCAGCACTTCGGACAACGCCTTTGGAATCCGGCATCACTCTCGTGATTCTGCCTAACATCCAGGAATTTCTTGGCAGGAACGAATCTGCGACGAGAACAACATCTCCAACCTTGAAACTTCTCTTTAGGCCGAGCCATTTTTGCCGTTCTTGCAAAAGCGGTAGGTATTCGTGAGTCCACCTTTGCCAGAATATATCCGCCATGTATTGTATTTGTCTCCAGCGCCGGCGGGCATAGACATCATGCTTAGCGAACACACCATGTGGAAAACTAGGCTGTGTTTTCAATCTGAGCAGATGATTCGGCGTTAGCGGCTCGAGGTCATTGGGGTGATCTGTGTTCGTGGTTAAGTGTCTCCCATTAATGATGCTTTCAACTTCGCATAGAAGAGTATGTAGTCCTTCATCTTCTAAAAGTTGTTGCTTCACAACAGAACTCAGCACTTTTCTCACCGTGCGGATTTGACGTTCCCAGATACCGCCGTGGTGGGATGCAGCAGGCGGGTTGAAAATCCATTGCACACCCTTTCTCATCATGACTTCATTGATACGAGACTGATCCAGCTCTGACAATGCCTCACGCAGCTCTCGTTCAGCGCCGACAAAGTTTGTGCCATTGTCGGAACGAATGATTGACACTTGTCCTCTTCTTGCTTGAAAACGCCGTATGGCATCAATACAGGAGTCAGTGTCAAGAGAATAGGCTACTTCTATATGCACAGCTCTGACAGTTAAACATGTGAATAGTACTCCATACCACTTAACCTTTGCACGTCCTCTTCTGACCTCAAAAGGTCCAAAATAATCCACACCTGTGTTGGTGAAGGGTGGTTTGTCAGGGATCAAACGGTCTTGTGGCAGATCTGCCATTTTGCCTTTGCATGCAGGCTTCTGCAGAGGTTGCACTCTGAAATCACTTTTCTTGCTGCTGCATTGGCTCTTGGTATCCAATACCGTTGTCGCAATATGGCTAGGATATGGTTCCTACCACTCTTGGTGTCCACACCATGTCCACACTCTTGGTGGATGTGGTGGAGAATGAGGTGAGCTATTCTGTGCTGTTTATGCAGAATGGCAGGATGCTTGGCCTCTTCAGGCATTGCCGATCTGTTCAAACGTCCTCCTACTCTCAACACATCATCTTGCAAGTATGGATCCAGTTTGAAGATAGAACTGCTCTTTTTCACACGAGAGCCTCCCGGCTGCAAGGCTTGTATCTCCTCTGAGTAAGCTTGTCTCTGACTGTATTTAACCAGTTCCATTTCAGCTCTGGATAGATCTTCCACGGTAAGTATCCTTTTTTCCAGGTTCTTCTTGTACATCACCATTTGCTGTTCAACTACTGATCTGCATTTACCTGGATCAAACTCATTCTCTTGTATGTTCTGCTCAAACTCTTTTCTCTTCTCGCTCAGGTGCCGCAATGTCCTTCTCAAGTGCAAAATCCAGGCTGTCGCTTTTTTCAGCTTATGCCAACTGGAATAATACTCAACGAGCTGGTTCAATGGATCTGTGCACTCATTTGAGTCTGTGCATGACACTGCAGCGGATGTCTTCACCTCAACATCATCTTCAGTCAAGTAAGTACACTGTTTAGGTTGCTCCGGCCATTCAACTTCTTTTTGCAGGACACTAGGCCCCTGAAACCAGCTTTTACTTTCCAAGAAGCTCTGGATCTTCAACCCTCTTGAAGCCTGATCAGCTGGGTTTTGTGAGGTGTTGACATACTTCCACTGAGAAGATGTAGTCGCTTCTCTAATGAAAGAGACACGGTTTTTCACAAATGTCTTGAAGCGAAGAGCATCGTTTTCAATGTACTTTAGTACTGTTGTACTATCTGTCCAGAAGACCGACTCCATCAGGGGAACTTCAAGTTCTTCTTTCAACATCCGATCGATCTTGACTGCAACAGTCGCTGCTGTTAACTCCATTCTCGGGATCGTGATCTGTTTGAGCGGAGCGACTCTGGACTTTCCCATAAAGAATGATACATGTTTCTCACCCCTATCATTTGTCAGCAAGAGATACGACACAACGCCATACCCATCTTGACTAGCATCTGAGAAATTGTGGATTTGAGCAATCTTTGTTGGCCCAAATGCAGGGGGGTTGAAACATCTGTTCAGATTGAGTTCTGAAAGCTTGTCTAAGTCTGTCAGCCACTTCATCCATGTCTGGCATGACTTTTCATGGATCTCTTCGTCCCAACCCTTCTTCTCTTGGCAGAGATCTCTTAAAATGAGCTTGGCGGGTAGCAGGAGTGGTGCCAAAAAACCCATTGGGTCATACACTGAACTGACTACAGATAAAATGCCCCTACTTGTGCATGGCTTGTCCGGCAGATGTATTTTGAACCTGAAGCTGTCAGAACTTGTGCACCACTGCATGCCCAATGCCCGTTCCACTGGTAACTTATCATGCTCCAAATCAAGATCTTTGACCTCAGCTGCTCGTTCGTGATCGGCAATGGAACCTAGCAGAGCTCGGCTGTTGCTGACCCGCTGTTCTTCTCAATGCATATGATGCACAACTGGGAGATGATGTAGCACCGAACAGATGCACACACATTCTGTACTCTTCTGGTTCAACATTCAGGTTACCGCCTGGCCACCAGAGAAAGCGTAACATATCTGCGTCCGTGTCTGGAATCCACACCTGGTAAAACATGGACTCGATATCTGCCATCATGGCAACAGGCTCCTGTCTGAATCTCAGCAACACTCCGATGAGGGTGTTCGTTAGATCAGGCCCTTGCAACAACTGGTCATTTAGCGACACACCCTGGTAAGTTGCCGCACAGTCAAAAACAACTCGGAGTTTCCTCTTTTTTGGATGGTAAACCCCATGGTGTGGAATGAACCATACTCTTCCATCATTGCGAATCAACTGTTCTTCTGGAACATTTATTGCATATGTAACCGAATGAAATGAGTAGTGATTGACGTTTATGAGCACCTATCAGTAAAGAGTTCCCCCTATTTAAGATCTGGTTGGCTGTGGTCTGGGATGCGTCATGTCCGACTCCTCCCCGTAGCTGTTGTTGACAGTGGACACAGCCTGTCTTTTCTCCTCCTGGCACCCTTGGCTTGTTTAAAGTGTATGCTAAGACTGCTAATCTCTCCGGTAAGTGCAAGGCGTTTTCTGAGAACGCAGATTGGTTAGTCCTGTGGGGTTGGGGTTGATATTTTGCGTTGTGTGCAGTATTCCCTGTGTCTCCGCTGTATCTCCGCTGAACGGCAATTGCCTGAATACCGCATACCCGTGCTGGTGAAGGGATATTAGAGCTCACTTCCATTTCTTCGGTAAGTTATATGCTGTGAATGTTAGCAAGCGATGTATGCACGTTAGTAATCATTTTTGTGTGTATTTATCTCAGGATTCTCTCTCTCTCTCACTCGTGAGCGATCCGTTTCGGCTGTAGTCGCAGTCCTGTTTGTCTTCCCTCCGTCATACTACGAGAACGCTGTATTTTCCAGCTGATCTGATGGATTGTCGCTGTCTGGTTTCTTTATATCATTGTTTAGTGTATTTTTGGGTTGCCATTCAATAATTTGCAAGGAGAATATCATTCTGCGGTTGCTCCTTTCAAGTTTGTTTACCTTATTATTGGTATTGAGTTAATTTGTTTTGTTTATTGTGCCAAAAACTTTATTGTTCTGGATTTGATTTGACAGGACTTTATTCCTGCCTGTGCTTGTGATTATACCATAATCAAATTGTGATTTATTGTACTGTTTTGAGATTTGTTTCTTTTTTTTGTATTTTCTTTCAGTCGCCGAGGTCCCACTGGTGAAGGGTCTCTTGTGGTGGTGGTGGTGCTCCTTCCACGGTTGCCGTGCAGCACTTTTGAAGTGTTTGGTTGAGTGAGCTTGAGAGCACGGTGGTGTGAGTGTGCAAGTGTGCTTTTGAGTTAAAGTGAAGCTTTATGATCACTTCGCCGTGGTGAACCTCGGCCCTGTAAGGTTGCAGTTTTGTTTTTCAGTTGTGTGGTCATTAGTCTTTGTAGATTGTGTTCTGTCATTTGTTGCCTCTGTTTTTTTGTTTTGTTAAACACTCATGTCTGCCAAGCTATAATTACCCATCTGAAGCCATCCTGGTGCAACTGAGGTTATTGTGAATTTCATGCTCTCTTTTAAATAGGATTTTCTAATAATAAAATGTATTTATTTTATGATACCCACGTTTCTGCCTACCTTTTTATGAGAGTCGAACCTGTGTGACCTAAATTTTTAGGGATCATTCATATTTCCCGGGGTGAAATTCCCATGGGTGGCGTAGTCTAACTTTGTGTCTGAAATCTATAGCTTACTACTCCGTCACAAACAGCCTTTTTCCAGTATTTTGTCCATAAATGCCCTGTACTCTTGAAAGAAGTCAATATTCCTACTGAACTTCCTCTTCAGAGAGTTAAGCCTCTGTTCAGCAATACCACGGTTGCATGGCATCTTTACCTTGTTATCCTTCAAAGGCAACTTGATGCAGAAGTGACCATCCACAAGCTGAGCTGATGTTGTCACTGTATGCATGAACTGCTTGTCATGTTGAGACTGTTCTCGTCTGTCATCACATCTTCTTTCTGGGAAATCTGCATTGTAATACTTCATCAGCATTTCTTCAACACTTATCACAGAAATCCGGTTGACAAGGAAACTTTGTCTTTTGCCATCGTCTGACTCCTTCTCTTGACATCTGCTGATTGGTCCATTGACAACCCAACCAAGAGCTGTCTTCACAGCGTATGGTCCGTCATTCTGACTATTAATGATCTCCCATGGCTCCATGGCTTTGTACACGTTGACACCAATGAGCAGACCAACTTCTGCATCTAGTTTTGGGAGATGGACTCGACTCAGATAAGACCACTTTTCCAAATCTTTCTTCTGTGGGATGTGGACCTTTTTTGCAGGTATATCTGGCTGCGTATACACATTGGGCAGCTGAATGTAATCTTGCTCCTCTAAGCCACACACCTCCAGATCTGTAAGCTCATAGCTACTAACTTTCTGTTCTTGGGCTATAGTACGAAGCAGGAACTCTGTCTTTCTGCCTCGCATATTCAACTTCTTCGCCAAGTCTTCAGTGCAGAAAGTTGCTGTACTTCCTTGATCTAGAAAAGCATAGGTCTTGATTATCTTTGAGTCTTTCTTATGTTTTACCCGTACAGGTACGATGGGAAGAATACACTCACTGTTCACTGTATACTCGATTTTTGACTAAGTCGAGCAGTCTTTTGACTTTGATGTGAGTGCAGAAACCTGACTCACTAGCTTAGGACTTCAAAGTTCTTTTGTACTCAACACAAAACGTTCGCGGATAAAAGTCTTGAATCCAAAGTTCTTCGTTTGACTGTTTAATTATGAATTTCAAAAACATTAAAAAAAAACTTAGAATCTTTACTTTTCTTACAAATTAACTGTTCCGTGTAGGTCAAACGACTGTGTTGCTCCAAAGTCCAGTGGCTTCTGACTGCTTCTAATATACCTGGACTATACTAATTCTTTCATACTAAATCTAACAACCAATCAAATTACATTATACTAGATCACTGGGCAACTGCTTACATTCAAATTTCTACGTTCCATTTGCAACATAAATTTGTTATTTGTACATTATGTGACTATACAAATCACAACATGTAAATAGAAAAACGTTTGCGTTATTTTGCCACTCATTTGGATTAGTATGAAAGCTGCAACCATTCACATCCAGTCTTTGTGCTAAGCTAGGCTAGCGGTGGGTGCGTCAAACAGACTTATAGCACGCACGGAGATGAAAAAGGTATGTATGGACTTATCTAACTCTGGGGGGTAAGGTGAATAGGCTAAAGTCCCAAAAAGTCGGAGTGTTCCTTTAAATTAAAATAACCACATAATCCAAGATAACCCTACCTTGATAAATACTAAACTGAAACAATAGGAGAACTGAATCTACTTGCGCGCTCTTGTCTTCTCCACGGTCTGACCAGTCTGACCGGTCTGTCCTGACTTTATGCTGGATCTCCTCGAACTAACCCTAACCCTAATCTGTAACACAGCACCCTCAAATAATCTGAAATCTCTGACAAATCGAAACTAGGCCTGCAGTGACTCAGTTAAGTGCTATGCAATTTAGATTGCAATACTATTCAAACGCGCTAAGAGTGGGACGCGTCTAATTAAAACAGATTTGTGAGAAGGTAAAAATGTAAAAATAACCACAGAATCAAAAGATAGCCCTACTTTGTGATAAATAAGCTGCTAAATTACAAATAACCACAGAATCGGAGACAGCCCTACCTTCAAATACTAAGTTGTTAAATTAGAAATTATCTGAACGTGCTCCTCCCGAACTTAGTTAATAAAACATCATGTGTCTAATGGATGCTGCAGGTCTGTTCAGGTCTTTTGTGCCTCATGTGTTTAAATCATTAAAATTGATTGCTGTTGAAATTATTGACAGAGAACACTGGATGAATCAAGAGTGATGATTATGTCATCATCAATACATAACAGTCAGCATTCATTGATCATATAAATAGCCTATATTATATATAGTGGTGGGCAGATCGAGGAGCAGTGAAGCAGCTGAAGCGAAACACTCGACGTAACGTAAATGTTTATTGTTGACTTTTATTTTGAAGCGCTGTACTGTGTTCTCGCGAGAGTTCATTCTTGTAGCTGTCATGGCGGCCCAGTGACCGCTGCATGCGTGTGTGTGATGAAGCTCGCTGTGTGTGGTGTGTGTCAGTAGATGAGAGTGATGATGATGAGTGTGATGAAGGCTCGGCTCGGCTGGGTCCGGCTCGCTGCTGTCAGAGGCTTTCATGAGCGGACTGTGGCTGTGGGTTTAGGGGACAGGTGAGAGACTCCTCAACATCCAGAACTTAGCTAACATTTCACCACTCCAGTATTTAAAACACAGCTCTACATCTTCATGTGTAAGAATATTTAGTGCTGTGAAAAATGTATATTATACATGTGTAAAATATTTATGTTCTATTATATTACATACATACGTAGTTTTTCTACTCATTTTAGGACTAAAAAGATGTATCTTATTGTTTTATTTATTTAAATCAAACGATATTAAACGGTATTAATTAATTTATTATTTATTTAAATGAAAAATATACATTTGATTTGATTTATTTATTTAGTTACATAGTTCTTCATTTTTATTTATATATTTTTACATCGCCTTTCTTATTTTTTTTAATCATTTTAATCAAGCTTTGTTTACTAATTTAGTTTTATAAAATTAATTAGTTTTTTAATCAAATTTTATTTATTTTAATAATTTTTATTTATTGGTTTTGATCAAATATTTTGATTATGTGATTATTTGTTTTTAATTTACTCCAATTTTAAGGATTTATTTCAATCCTTTTTTAATGTATTTATTTTCTTTAAATGTGTTAAGTTATTATTTATTTCAATACAATGATTTCAAATAATGTTCTGTGTGCAGGAGGCTGGAGATCTCAACTGGGAAACTCGCTCGCTTCGCTGACGGCTGTGCAGTGGTCAAAGTGAGTGTGTCTGTGTGTGTGTGTGTGAGTGAGTGAGTGAGTGTCTGTGTGTGTGTGTGAGTGAGTGAGTGAGTGAGTGAGTGAGTAAGTGAGTGTGTGTGTGAGTCTGCTGGATCCAGTGTGTGTGTGTGTGTGTTCAGCGCTGATCGCGGTGTGTGATTGCAGTTGGGCGAGACGTCAGTGATGGTGACCGCAGTCAGCAAGAGCAAACCGGCCAGCGCTTCCTTCATGCCTCTCGTGGTGAGATACACCTCAGCTTTAGCATATTTAACACACACACACACACACACACACTCACACTCACATGTGACGTGATTATGTGAGTCTTGTTACACACACAGAACAGAGTTCAGTGCTGAATGTAAATGCTGTTGTCACTCCTGAAACTCTGCAGTGTGTGTGTGTGTGTGTGTGTGTGTGTGTGTGTGTGTGTGTGTCGTCTGTGAATGACGCGAGTGTGTTCTGTGATCGTCAGGTGGATTACAGGCAGAAAGCAGCGGCTGCAGGACGAATACCCACAAACCACCTGAGGAGAGAACTGGGCAGCACCGACTCCGAGATCCTGACCAGCCGGCTCATCGGTCAGACACACACACACACACACACACACACACACACACACACACACTCTCTCTCACACACATACATGTGTGTCTAATGCATTGCCTATGTGTGTGTGTGCAGATCGCTCCATCAGGCCGCTGTTTCCCGCCGGATACTTCTACGACACACAGGTGTGTGTGTGTGTGTGTGTGTGCGTGCCTCTCGTCACGCAGGAGCTGTAATCAGACACAGAAACACTGATGGCCATCATGTTCTGAGCTTGTATCTGCACTCATCGTGTGTGTGTGTGTGTGTGTGTGTGTGTGTGTGTGTTGAAGGTGCTGTGTAACATACTCGCCGCTGATGGAGTCAACGACCCGGATGTTCTGGCCATTAACGGAGGTATGAACATCTCTGACTCGTTGTGTGTGTGTGTGTGTGTGTGTGTGTGTGTGTGTGTGTGTCTGACGGTGTTGTTTCTCTCTCAGCGTCTGCAGCTCTGGCTCTGTCTGATATCCCCTGGAGCGGCCCCATCGGTGAGTGCAGCGCTCGTGCAGGTGTGTGTGTGTGTGTGTGTGTGTGTGTGACGCTGTGTGTGCTGCAGGTGCGGTGCGCGTGGGGCTGGTGGACGGAGAGTTCCTGGTGAACCCCTCGCGCTCGGAGATGAACAGGAGCTCGCTGAACCTCGTGATCGCGGGAGCGCCGGCCAGCCAAGTGGGTCTGTGAGATTCTCAGAGCTCAGCGTTACCCATGATGCTCTGCTGCTGTTCTGACGCGTGTGTGTGTGTGTGTAGTGATGATCGAGGCCGCGGCGGAGAACGTCCTCCAGCAGGACTTCAGTCACGCGGTGAAGCTGGGGGTCAAACACACACAGCTGATCGTCCAGGCCATCCAGCAGATGAGCCGTGAGCTGAAGGTGTCCAAGCGCTCTCCCGCCAGACTCTTCACCGCCTCCGCCGAGATGGTGGACTACACACGCCTGTGAGACATCAGCTGGACTTCAGGATCTGTGCTGTTTCTTAGAGATGGGCATTGACACACATTTCACAACTCCATTCAAATCTGTTTCATTTGCTGCCATAAACACTTGCTTTCAATATTAAAGAAGGCGTGTACCAGAACTACATTTTGGCCGATAACCGATAATCTTTTATATTTGAAAGCCGATACCTGATAAATTGGCTGATGCATCTGAATCCAAATTTCTATGTAATTTATGAGATCCTGATTACACTCACCAGTAAATCTGCACATGTCAGAGTGGGCTTTTACTGTGGCCAGCCTAAGGACGGATGATCTCGGCACAGGAGAAGTGCTCACTCACTAACACAGATTTAGACTAACAATATTTGAGAGAAATAGGCCTTTTGTGTACATAGAAAAAGTCTTATGCTGCGTCCCAATTCGCTTACTTATCCTACGCCCTAAAAGTATGTACTCTTTTTGTGAGGAAAAAGTACTTTTGAGTGTGTAGCAAAAGAGTAGGCAAGCTTTGGGACATACTATCACGTCATCTTTAACGGACGGCTCTGTCGCGTGCTGCGTGCATCCTGTCACCGTAAACTGCCCTGTCAATCATCCTGTCACCGTAAACTGCCCTGTCAATCATCTTGTCACAGTTAAAATCCATTCAATCTAATTTTATTTCCTACCGTTTCGGAGAGCACGTTCATCTGCCAGTTGTGGGTCTTTCATGCTCTCCTCGTGTTTGCAATTTGAATATAATGATGCATTTAAAACATAATGGCTAAACGTGTCTTTACAAAAGTTCACAATGCTGCTGCAAATGCAATATAATGTGGACAACATTGAATAAATTAATTTTCATTAGGTTAGATACTGATAATTAATCACTCAAAGCTCTTTATCTAAACCTCTCTACACAACCGTCCTCCGTATCGACTACGTGTCTGTAGTTTTTTAACACTTTTTACTCGTGTTTGTAGTTCTAACCGAATCCTCGTCCAACGCGCAATGGTTTGTGGGTAATATCAGCCGTTAGAGTGTGCATCGATCTACACTTCGGATTCTGACTGGAAAAAGTAGACCATCCGGTTATCTTTCAAACACTCATTTCAACATACTACGATTTGGGACGTACTAATTCTATTTTCGAATACTATTTAGGACGGATAGTATGCGAATTGGGACGCAGGGTTAGTCTTTGACTTCAGCTCATGAAAAAGGGCGGCAAAAACAGAAGTGTTGCGTTTATGATGTTGTTCAGTGTATATCGGCCGATGCGATTGGGTGGCCGATATATCGTGTTAATATGCCCCTCTCTAGAGTGATGTTTCTAGATGTAATGTAATTCCTCATGTCAGCGTTTGATTGGCTGCTTTCTCCTCAGGTTGACGTCCGCTAAGATCTACGCTGTGTTTACAGACTTCACACATGACAAGGTGAGTGTCAGCGTCACGCCGTCTGATCTCGCGGTCACTTTAAATTTCCTGATGATTTACTCTCCCCACGTCATCCGATATGTCCATAACCACTAGTGCTGGTCTCGCTCTAGCTGTGACGCGACACACATTACGTAATCGGGTTGAAAGGTCATGCGTGACAAACGCCCTTTACAAAAAAATAATGGGTAAAACAACGATTTCTGAAGATTTTAAAGTTGGAGGAGGAAGTGAGATGGAGAAAACAGTTTCCGCCTGATCATCGTTTTTCTCGGTCTAACTCGAGCTGCTGATATGTTGGTAACTTGTTTGCTTGGTTAGGGGTTGTTGGATATATTGTATAAATGTTCTGTACATTTCTCTTGTTGAATGTTTCTACTAAACACTTTCTCTAAATTCTACAGCACATTGGTCAACATTTCTCTTGTTGCAGGTCCACTACCCGTTGTTTTAATTGTGCTATATAAATAAATTACCTAACCTGACCTGACCCTTCCAACGTGATTGCGTAATGCGTGTAGTCGTGGACGTGCAAGACCAGCAGTAGTGGTTAAAGTGTATAAATGTGTTTTGTTGTAAATATCGGCTGGTTTGTCTAAATCAGACTCTTATTCCTCGGCTGGAGCGTGTCGAGACTTTGAAGCTGCTCTGAAGCTCACCCCATTGAACCCCATTGAACTCACTGTATGGAGAAACATCCTGGAGTGTGGTCCTCAAAAACCTTCAATTCTATCCCACTGAAGGAAGAAAGACATGATCATCTCTGATGACGTGCGGGAGAGTAAACGATCAGGAAATCTGAATTCTGAAGTGAACTGATCCTTTAAGTGTGCATGTTTCCTCAGATATCCAGAGATGAAGCGATTAATAAGATCCGTCTGGAGGCCGAGGAGCAGATCAGAGGTGTGTGACGGACATCAGCGGTTCTGATTGGTGTGTTTGCGCTGTGTAACGCTGATGCTGTCTGGTGTGTGTAGAGAAGTTTCCGCAGGCGGAGACGTTCGAGGTGGTGGAGGCCTTTAACAGCGTCTCTCGAGAGATCTTCAGGAATCTGGTTCTTCAGGAATACAGACGGTAACGTCATTCTCAAGCTATTAATATAAGCACTGATGATGGTGAGTCATGTGACCGGTACTCTTGCATCATGTGACAGGTGTGACGGAAGAGATCTCACGTCTCTACGCAACATCTCCTGTGAGGTGGACGTGTTTAAGCCACTCCACGGCTCGGCTCTCTTCCAGAGGGGTCAGACACAGGTCAGCACACGGTACACGCCAGGTCACAGGCCAGGTCACACGCCAGGTCACCCGCCACATCACCCGCCAGGTCACCCGCCACATCACCCGCCACATCACCCGCCAGGTCACCCGCCACATCACCCGCCAGGTCACCCGCCAGGTCACCCGCCACGTCACCCGCCAGGTCACCCGCCACATCACCCGCCACGTCACCCGCCACGTCACCCGCCAGGTCACCCGCCACATTACCCGCCACATCACCCGCCAGGTCACCCGCCACATCACCCGCCAGGTCACCCGCCAGGTCACCCGCCACATCACCCGCCACATCACCCGCCACGTCACCCGCCAGGTCACCCGCCACGTCACCCGCCAGGTCACCCGCCACATCACCCGCCACGTCACCCGCCACATCACCCGCCACGTCACCCGCCACGTCACCCGCCACATCACCCGCCACGTCACCCGCCAGGTCACCCGCCACATCACCCGCCACATCACCCGCCACGTCACCCGCCAGGTCACCCGCCACGTCACCCGCCAGGTCCCCGCCACATCACCCGCCAGGTCACCCGCCAGGTCACCCGCCACATCACCCGCCACATCACCCGCCACGTCACCCGCCAGGTCACCCGCCACGTCACCCGCCAGGTCACCCGCCACATCACCCGCCACGTCACCCGCCACATCACCCGCCACGTCACCCGCCACGTCACCCGCCACATCACCCGCCACGTCACCCGCCACATCACCCGCCACATCACCCGCCAACGTCACCCGCCAGGTCACCCGCCACGTCACCCGCCACGTCACCCGCCACATCACCCGCCACGTCACCCGCCAGGTCACCCGCCACATCACCCGCCACATCACCCGCCACATCACCCGCCAGGTCACCCGCCACGTCACCCGCCACGTCACCCGCCACGCCACATCACCCGCCACGTCACCCGCCAGGTCACCCGCCACATCACCCGCCACATCACCCGCCACGTCACCCGCCAGGTCACCCGCCACGTCACCCGCCAGGTCACCCGCCACGTCACCCGCCACGTCACCCGCCACATCACCCGCCAGGTCACCCGCCAGGTCACCCGCCACGTCACCCGCCAGGTCACCCGCCACATCACCCGCCACGTCACCCGCCACGTCACCCCAGGTCACCCGCCATATTACCCGCCACACATTACCACCGCCACATCACCCGCCAGGTCACCCGCCACATCACCCGCCAGGTCACCCGCCAGGTCACCCGCCACATCACCCGCCACATCACCCGCCACGTCACCCGCCAGGTCACCCGCCACGTCACCCGCCAGGTCACCCGCCACGTCACCCGCCAGGTCACCCGCCACGTCACCCGCCACGTCACCCGCCACATCACCCGCCAGGTCACCCGCCAGGTCACCCGCCACGTCACCCGCCAGGTCACCCGCCACATCACCCGCCACGTCACCCGCCACGTCACCCGCCAGGTCACCCGCCACGTCACCCGCCAGGTCACCCGCCACGTCACCCCGCCAGGTCACCCGCCACGTCACCCGCCACGTCACCCGCCACATCACCCGCCAGGTCACCCGCCAGGTCACCCGCCACGTCACCCGCCAGGTCACCCGCCACATCACCCGCCACGTCACCGCGCCACGTCACCCGCCAGGTCACCCGCCACATTACCCGCCACATCACCCGCCAGTCACCCGCCACACATCACCCGCACAGTCACCCGCCAGGTCACCCGCCACATCACCCGCCACATCACCCGCCACGTCACCCCAGGTCACCCCACATCACCGCGCACGTCCCCGCCACGTCACCCCCCACGCACATCACCCGCACGTCACCCGCCAGGTCACCCGCCACAATCACCCGCCACATCACCCGCCACGTCACCCGCCAGGTCACCCGCCACGTCACCGCCAGGTTCACCCGCCACGTCACCCGCCAGGTCACCCGCCACATCACCCGCCACGTCACCGCCACGTCACCCGCCACATCACCCGCCACGTCACCCGCCCACATCACCCGCCAGGTCACCCGCCAGGTCCCCGCCACATCACCCGCCAGGTCACCCGCCACATCACCCGCCACGTCACCGGGTGATGTGGCGTGTCACCCCAGGTCACACGCCAGATCACGCGCCGGGTTCACACGCCAGACCACACGCCACATCACCCGCCACGTCACCCACCACGTCACCCGCCACGTCACCCGCCAGGTCACCCGCCACATCACCCGCCACATCACCCGCCACGTCACCCGCCACGTCACCCGCCACATCACCCGCCACATCACCCGCCAGGTCACCCGCCACATCACCCGCCACGTCACCGTGATGTGGCGTGTCACCCCAGGTCACACGCCAGATCACGCGCCGGGTCACACGCCAGACCACACGCCACATCACCCGCCACGTCACCCGCCAGGTCACACGCCAGTTCACACGCCAGGTCACACGCCAGTTCACACGCCAGTTCACACGCCAGGTCACACGCCACGTCACACGCACCAGATCACTCGGCAGATCACACGCCAGTTCACACGCCAGATCACATGTTTGAACACGCTAGAGCACATGTACAGTTAGTGGATGTGTGTGCAGGTGCTGTGCTCCGTGACCTTTGACTCTCTGGAGTCCAGTCTGAAGACAGACGTGATCACCACAGCGCTCAGGTCAGTGACACATGCAAACATATGATTTAAAGTTGTTCCCCACACACACACACACACACACACACACACACACACACACACGCACACTGTTTATGAACTGTGTATACTAAATGAGGCAAGGGTTGTAGAGTCACATTCAAGATATTTTAAGGCATGAAGACATTTTTTCAAGGAAAAAACTTTAAATTATTTCATTTTTGGTGATCAAAGATGTTATTGACTAAAGTTATTGACTAAATAAATATATTTATATTTTGAAAATAAATCAATTTTGATTAAATAATGGAAATAATGCATTTAACAGTATATTACTACGAATGTAAAAAAATAATACTTTATGTTTATATAAAAATATAACTTAATTGAAAACTAATTTTAGATTTATAATACAAATATTTTCCGTGTATAAACTGTGTGTTTATAAAAGATAATTGTGTCCTCGCACGAGAGTGATGTGTGTCTGAAAGCCCGTTGTTCACACTAGCCGTCGGGAAGAG